TGGCTGAAGCAAAACTTTCTGAGGTCCAATCGAGTACGTTCGTTTGTGACCTCGTAAGGATGGCCACGCTGGTGAGTTATGTTGGCTAACTCAAAGTAATCCTCCAATTTGAGAGAGGGACCGTGGCCCCGGATTACCCGGAATGTCCAGAGCAGGCTGCACTGTACGTGCCTGTAAGACAAAGGAAAAAGGTCAAGTTTGATCAATCTCTCCTGATACGGTAAGTCCCTGAGACCATCGGCCATCTTTGTCGTCCCCCGCTGCACCTGTTCAATAGTTCCGGAGGAAGTCATTTAAACGTAACTCTAATAGATTGCAGCAGACTTGTTACATTCTGGACCATCTTCTCGCAGTGCTCTGATGGCATCAAGTCCGAGGTTGTCCAAATATCCATATCTTGGTGGGTTTCTAGATCTCTTAGTGGATTGTCGTTAAGAAAAAAAATGTGTTTGAGAAATACCTTTCGACCGGCGCTAAGGTATAATGCCACAGGTTTGAACGGATTATTTTTGAGAAGCTACCATGTTGACCAAGCGAACTGTTATTGGATAGTAAATTGCAGCATAATGCGTCGTCAGCAAAGTTAATTTCGGCCAATATTTTTATGTCATCTATGAATACGACCACTTGAAGATCAAAGTCCCTTTCGCAGTCATTCATATAAATCAGGAAGAGAAGCGGATACAGAACAGAATCCACCAGAAAAACACTTGCAAGGTTTATCCACTCCGAGGTAGAAATGCCAATAGCGACTCCTTGTACTCTAAAGGACGGAAATTTTTGCATTGGGACATTCTAGCTTGACCTCCTATTCTCCAATTGGTTTTTAAGAGAAGTTGGAGTAGTAGGCTAGTCAAGGCCTTCCTGAAATCAGAAAACTACAGCATCCACTAGATTGCATCTATCCCGGGCGACTAAAGCATACTCCACCATAGTAATAAAGCATATTTCAGCCGGTGTCATATTGTTTGTTATGTGTTTTCTTTCTATTTATTTTCGCATATGTAGTCGAAACAAAAACTTGTCCTTTTTGCTTACGCTAAATTTCCAGATTCTCATTTTTGCATTACATCTACTCAGGACGGCTGCGCGACGCCGCTAGCGCGTACTAACATATACGTACGAATATCAGTCTGGTCCTGGACCAATCACAACTGTCCAAACGGATAACTCAACTTCTAGGTAAAGTCAGTCATGTCCTCACTCAAGGCGCTGTGGTAACTTCCACACTCTCAATCGCGAGGCCGTCCTCACGACGTTGGTCGTGTCTCCAGTTATTCTCCAATAATTATTTACAGAATACAATACTCTCCCTACTGGCATCCAAATTCTCTGACTTTGGCTCGAGACGGGGATGAAGCTCATAGTAACTACAGTCACCCTATGGCTTTACCTGCGCCGACACTATTTACCATATTGCATATACCCCTGCTGTCTTGTCCGAGCACATATTATTCGTGAGATTCTCTTCCCATTACTCAAGCTAGCTACCAGCTCCTAATGAACTTTATGTATCTCTGGTTGTGTGAACGCTGGTTTGGAGCTTCATTTTGAGATTCCTGCAAACTTTACAAAAAAAATACTTTTATCAATTGGGGAACCAAACAATTGTAAGCCTTTACCGAATTCGCAGATATACATATACCTTCAACCGTGGAGCAAGCAATAAAAAAGGGGAAATGGCATTCGCTATAGAAAACAATCTTGTATCCCAGTTGGCATATCGTTGATTTTGTTGGTTAGCCTATACCATACTGAATGACGGGCGCTGTTGACAAGCGTCTGTATTTTGAAATGAGCGCTATAGTAGCCCGGCCTGCACGAATCTGTTAGCCTGTGATGAGTCTGTCATGCCTGGGGCAGAATGCCTATCTCTTGCTATTTTTCAACTCGATTATTTAATATCTGCAATATCTAAAAAGAATTTTAAGGCAAATTCTGCTGAAATAAATCAGGTAAATAAAGGATGACGGGGGCATTACAGCAAAATAAAATATATTTTATTTTGCTGTCTATTTTGAGTATTATTTGACTTCTATTATTTGCAGTCACCTCACTGATTTAAAATTTTTATTAAGGAGAGAGTCGTTTTTCTTGTTTTGTGCTCTAACAATTATAAATTTGATAAGGAGACTTTGTTCCCACAGTAATGACTTTGGTTCTATTTTAATTTTGATTCTCTTCGTCCACCGGTTGTACTTTTATGCTTTGCCTACAGTTCCAAGGCTTGTGGATTAAATTTCCCGAGAATTCCACTGTTATACGCCCTGCTTATTTTGTTCTCCTTTCTGAGATTTGGTCTTTCTTTTTTTAGCTTTTGTTTCAAAATGGAAACGCACTGGAACGTCACTTTTTGCGGACCTTGTTTTCAACCATTGATTTTTCGCCGTACGAAGTAAAAAATACATCTAGGGAATTTAATCAGGTATCTTTAGTGCCTCTTTATAATCTCCCATTTCAATGTAGATCCAGCTTCTAGCTCATGAACTTCAGTCTGCACAGTCGAGGCCTAACTTTACTTCATTGGTCTGTTTTGCAGTTCAGTACTCGCTGAATGCGCCAAAAGTATGTTTGTCCTATTATCTTTCTATTATGTGATATACTCCTTTCGTGTGGTCTACTGTTTCTTTTGCATCCTCTCGAGAGAGGCAAACGAAAATTTTTATTTCATGGTTGCACTGTAAAAAGATGTTTAGGGGTCAAATCTGCTGGTTAAAATTACTTTCAGATATTCCCTACTCGTCAAATTCTCACGCAGTCTCGTCAATACTATATGTGTCAACTATTTATTTTGTCTTACGTATACCACTCTCCAGCATGTTTCACTAAAGGAAAGCAAAGAATATAATACTTTCCCGTCTTAGTACGCCCGCCACTGTATCTACAGGCTTTTTTATTAATACCACCTCGTGACACTGATATATTTCCAAGTATTATTTGAGGGTCGCTAAAGTTGGGGTTGGTTTTATGCAGTACCCATGATCCAATTGCTTTGGGGGATGAAAGGGTCGTATTTTTCTCAGAAAATCTTATGGCACGTGTACTATACGGAATAAAGCTGAAATGGGACGAAAAACACGATGGAGATTCCGGTGAAATTTTGGGCGCCACGTTGACAATCAGATAGGTAGACCAGGACCCAGCGGTCGTATTGAGTGCCAACTAATTTGGTGTTTGACTGCATCTTAAAATATCTTTTCATTTTTTTCCTTTCTAGTGGCAGTTAAAACCGTCGCGTCAGCTGTTGTCTCAAGTCAGTCGCATGCTCAAGTTGAATCGTGTCCAGGAACTCATCTTCAGTCTAGCACTCACGCACGCGCTCAATGGCAACCTGGCAAAGCAGGCCCTTATTTGGTTTCGCCACAAGCTACGGACATTTATTCAACTTCAAGTCAAATCTAGTAAGCGCTCTTCTTAATGGTTTGGCTTTTAGTATACAGTTTCCAGCGCTTTCTACCGTCAGTATAAATTTGAGCAGAATCCTGTTCCACTTTAATTCTGACATTTATTTTTACTTTTACATCTCAAGCAAGAAGTGGTTTCGACTTCCAGCCTTCGATATGATCATATTCTTTGAAGTAATGTTGTGTCTTAGTTTTCGTTTTTAAT